ATAAAACGCTAACTAAGGCAAGTTCTGATAGACTCATATGTAGCTAGAGGGTTTTCTCTCCGGGTCTCGCCAAGCCCATGCTGTCTGACAGCCCACTTATAAAATAAACATACAGATGCTTATATTATTTAAACTGTTTGGCCTAATGGCTCAGGCTTCTTGCTAGCTATTCTTATATCTTAAATTAACCCATTTTTATTAATCTATACTTTGCCATATGGCTCGTTGCTTACCAGTATCTTACATCTTGCTTGTCATGACTGCGGCTGGCAGTCTCTCCGCCTCAGCCTTCCACTTCCCAGAATTCTGTTCTCTGCTTGTCCCACCTGTACTTCCTGCCTGGCTACTGGCCAATCAGTGTTTTATTTATTAACCAGTCAGAGCATCATATTTGTCATACAGACCATCCCACAGCATTCATATATTTGAATGCTTGGTCAGCTGAGAGTGGCACCACTAAGGGATATTAAGGAGATAAAGCCTTGTTGGAGGAAGTGTGTCACTAGGGGTGACTTTGATGTTTCAAATGCTCAAGCCAGGTCCAGTAGTGTCTCTCTCATCCTGCTCCCTGGAGATCTGGATGTAGAACTCTCTGCTACCTCTCCAGGACCATGCTCCCTGTCATGAATATAATGGACTAAAGCTCTGAAACTGTAAGCAAGCACAAATTAAATGCTTTTGTTGATAAGAGTCCCTGTGGTCATGCTGTCTCTTCACAACAATAGAACACTTACTAAGACATTTGGCAGCACCATATTTGCTTGGAGGCATATTTGAGAATATCATATGTCAAAAGATGCATCTCAAAGCAAATGGCAGACATCGGAGTCTTCTTCCTTATGATTCATCCAAACTCATATTTTTCTTTCAGAGTAAAACAGACCTACAAATGAACAACATAAATCTCAACTGCATGTACACTGAAGGCACGTTTTGTTCGCTTATCTATGTTACTTAAGCTTTCCTTGTAGTTTGTCTCTGGGTAGAAAATGCTGTGGTAAGGCTGATAATGGTATCTCATCTCCTTGACAATAAATCACATTCCCCTTAAACCACCTTTGCTAGTTAGTCAGCATTCCAGACTTACAACATCTCTGACCCTGTGATGATGTCTAGTTTTAAAACCAAAAACCAAAACAAAACAAAAACAAAAAAAACCCCAGAGCATCAGTATATGTACCAAAGTCAAAAATGAAGGGAACATAACTAGGCAAGCAGCAAAACTTTGCCATATACAAGCTGTTCATTTATCCAGTCTGAATTTCCTAAGTATTTAATTAATTTGGAAAGGTCAAATGAAGAACACAAGTTCTAAGTGGGTATTGAAGACAAGTAGGATTTTGCTGTCAAATATAATATGTAAACAAAAAGATAGGCTTGATTGGCCAAGTACAGTTTATATCAGAGAGTTTTTAATGTCCAATGGCGTTTGTATCATCTCTTTCAGGTTATAGGACCCCTTAGTGGGAGTAATATAAACAGAATTTGTTGCTTCCACTTACAAAGTAGTGTGGCACTGCTCATTGTGGAACATGGTCTAAGGAATCAGAATGCAGAATTTACTAACTTAGGGATTATTTAAAACCTATGATGGAAAGCACAAGGCTAAACAAATTGACTAAAGAAAGATAAATTATTAGCTTTGAATAACATCATTCACCTGGAATAAATGAGCAAAAAGAATACGTGCATCCCTAAAGGGAGAAATGTAAGGTCATTCAAAGAATAGATGGAGTTGGAAACAAAGTCAGCCATGATCAGAAATAAAAGCCATTTGAATGAGAGTAAAGAGAAATAATTTTTGATGTAATATTTCTTGTGTAGAATATATTATCACAGCTATCTAAGAGGAAGTTGAAAATGAAAATGTAAAAGTAAATTTAGGTTAGAAAAATTATTAAAAATCTTTTAAAATGTAGCTCAGGGCTTCTCAATACTGGTCTCAGAATCATTTGAATGGAGAAAATCAAATTTTTTCTTGCTTTTTGTTTTATTTTGTTTTCATATGAAATAAGCTTGATGCTATCAGAATATTTTTTCATTCTACTGATGAATAATTTTGATACAAGGCAATTTAAATTTTTATCCTATGTTTTTCTGCATATACATAGCCTCATATTTAAAATAATTTTTTAAATGAAATTTAAAAATTAGTTTTATAAGCAAAACTGACTTTGTGGCAATCCATCACCTCTCTTTCTTTCTTTCTATTTATTTCTATTTATTTATTTATTTTCCTTTTCATTTCTAGCTATTTTTTAGGTAAGAAATTTTCCATTCATTTTACATACTGTAGTGGGTAGCCATTCCAGCTTGGATCTGGAAGCTCCAACCCCCATTGAGACTCTGGCAACTGTCACGCCTACGAGGCGGGGCGAGGGGAGGTGCTGGAAACCTGAGAGCTGGATGGGCAAGCGCTCGCTCTGGGAGCACGCTCTGCGCCTGGACCCTGGATGGTGGAGATTGATTGTGCTGAGCTCCAGAGAACACCGCTGGATTGCTATACGCCTTCCCCAGACCCCCGCGACCTATCCGTTCCTTCATTTGTAAGTCATCCACTAAATAAATCTTCCTTTTAACTACGTGGAGTGGCCTTTATAATTTTCCCCAATAACATACCAATCAAAGATCCCCCTCTTCCCTTCTCCTGCCTTCCAGCTTAACCCTCCCAACACCCCACTCCTCCCCACAAGAAGGTATGCTGTGGATTATTGATTGATAAATAAAACACTGATTGGCCAATAGCCAGGCAGGAAGTATAGATGGGACTAGAGAGAGAAGAATTCTGGGAACAGAAAGGCTGGGGCAGAGAGAGATACTGCCAGCTACCGCCATAACAAGCAAGATGTAAGGTACCCTTAAGCTACAAGTCACATGGCAAGGTATAGATTAATAGAAATAGGTTAATTTAAGATAGAGGAAGTAAATAACAAGAAGCCTGCCACAGCCATACAGTTTGTAAGCAATATAAGTCTCTGTATGTTTACTTGTTGGATCTGAGTGGCTGTGGGACTGGCGGTGAGAGAGAATTATCCTGACTTTGAGCCAGGCAGGACCAGAAAATCTCCAGCTACAAAGGCCTCCCATGAGGAGGCAAATCCAGTAGAGGTAAGTCCAAGTCCCTTCTTTTGCCTCAAGGCTGCATGAGGTGTCCCATAATAGGTAGTGGGCTCCAAAAAGCCTGTTCATGCACCAAGGATTCTATTCTGATTCTACCACGGGAGTGGGAGGGGAAGCAGATCAAGCTACACAACTGTCTCACCATGCGGAGGGCCTAGTCCAGTCCCATGCAGGCTTCACAGCCATTGATACAACTTTCATACGTTCCCACTAGTTTGGTTTGGTCATCTCTGCAGGTTTCCCCGTCATGATCTTGATGCTGTTGCTCATAGAATCCCCCTTCTCTCTCTTTGACTGGACTTCTGGAGCTCTGCCCGGTGTTTGACTATAAATATCTGCATCTGGCTCCATCAGTCATTGGAGAAAAGCACTGTGTTGACAGTTAGGGTATTCACTGATCTGGTCACTGGGGTAGGCCAGTTCAGTTCAGGTACCCTCTCCACTATTTCTAGTAGTCCAAGCTGGGTCATCCTTGGGGATTCCTGGGAACTTTCATAGTACCAGTTTCTCTCTATCCCCATGATGTCTCCCTCCATTATGGTATCTCTTTCATTGCTTTCCCATTCCATATCTGCTCCAGCTTGACCATCTCATTCCCTTTTGCTCTCATCCCCCATCTCCTATCCTCCATTGCCCACCCCTCATCCCCAGTTTACTCATGGAAATCTCATCTATTTCCCCTTCCCAGGGTGATCCATGTATCACTCTTTGGGTCTTCCTTGTTAGCTACCTTCTCTGGAGTTGTGGGTTGTCATATAGTTATCCTTTGCTTTACATCTAGTATCCACTTATGAGTAAGTACATACCATGTTTGTTCTTCTGAGTCTTAGTTACTTCACTCAGAATGATATTTTATAGTTCCATCCATTTGCCTGCAAATTTCATGATGTCATTGTTTTTCTCTGCTGAGTAGTACTCCATTGTGTACAGGTACCACATTTTCTTAATGCATTCTTCAGTTGAGGGGCATCTAGGTTGTTTCCAGGTTCTGAATATTATGAATAATTATGCTATGAATATATTTGAGCATGTGTCCTCGTGGTAAGATTGAGCATTCCTTGGGTATATGCCCAAGAGTGGTATAGCTGTGTCTTGAGGGAGATTGGTTCCAAATTTTCTTAGAAACTGCCATACTGATTTCCAAAGTGGCTGATCTGATCAATTTTGTACTTCCACCAACAGTGGATGAGTGTTCCCCTTGCTCCATGTACTCTCCAACATAAGCTGTCTTCAGTGTTTTTGATCTTAGTCATTCTGACAGGTGTAAGATGGGATCTCAGAGCTGTTTTTGATTTGTATTTCCCTGATGACTAAGGATGTTAAGCAATTCCTTAAATGTCTTTCTGCCATTTGAGATTCTTTCTTTGAGAATTTTCTGTTTAGCTCTATAGCCCATTTTTGAACTGGATTGTTTGTTATTTTGATGCCTAATTTCTTGAGTTCTTTACATATTTTGGCAATCAGCCTTGTGTCAGATGTGGAGTTGGTGAAGAATGGGGTTTTCCCATTCTTTAGGCTGTCATTTTGTCTTATTTACCACATCCTTTGCCTTACAGAAGCTTCTCAGTTTCAGGAAGTCCCATTGATTAATTGTTGCTCTCAGTGTCTGTGATACTGGTGTTATATTTAGAAAGTAGTCCCCTGTGCCAATGTATACAAGACTACTTCCTACTTTCTCTTCTATCAAGTTCAGTATAACTGGTTTATATTGAAATCTTTGATCCACTTGGACTTGAGTTTTGTGCATGGCGATATAGATCTATTTGCAATCTTCTACATGTTGACATCCAGTTATACCAGCACCATTTGTTGAAGATGCTTTCTTTTTTTTCCATTGTATAGTTTTGGCTTCTTTGTCAAAAATCAGGTATTTGTAGGTATGTGGCTTAATGTCAGGGTCTTCAATTTGATTCCATTGGTCCACATGTCAGTTTTTATGCCAATACCAAGCTAGAAAATCAAATTTTTTTAAAAAGCAAAATATGGGAGAAAGTTTTGATTTAGGGTCCTATGCGACACACTTGGTAAATTTTTCTGTGACTCTAGTCAAAACCTCCAAGTGGGAACCTCTGATCAGAGCAGTAAAATACTCCAGTAATGCTTCTTTACAATTGGAATTGACAAGTCGGTGTGGTATTACAAACGGAGCCACAACCCTAGCCCAAGATATACATCTAGTAGTGAAAATTTATAAATACTAGTTAGGACTTCAAATAACATTAATATATGATCAGGGTCTATCACTTTGAATGTATAAGACCTATTTTCTGTAAATTTTCCTATGTAAATGTCATCATTTACAAAACTTCAGAGAAAAGATGGTATAGGACAAAATGGAGGAGAAGCAGAAAGAAAAAGAGATGACAAAATACTGAGTTAATAAAATATTGTGCTATCAGGAATTACATCCTTAGGTGAAAGTGGCAAGTTCACAGGGATGAGAAATGGATTCTCACAAAGCTCAGGAAACACAGGGACAGGACATTACCTAATACAATGTGATATTAGAATGAGGTGCTGAGATGCAAGATCAGAATCCAGGGCAGATTATTTCAACACTTCTGAAGCAATCCATAGTTTTGGAAATTGCTAAGCCAAATGTTCAAACCATAACAGCTCTTTGGATTGTGTTTTCAAGAAAACGTTCATGGGGAAGAAATCATGTAATACAGAGTTTGACTAACTTTGATTTTCTCATGGCAATGAAGACTGAGGCTGGATGATTTCTTTATTTGTAGAATGCAGCACTTTGTTGGTGCTGGGTTATTTATACATGCAAATTCCCACCTCAGTTCCTGTGACTTAGTGGGAACCTAGCTAATCTAATACTTTTCTCCTGGATGTATTTATCTCAGTTAATGTATTTCATGGGAATACTGTGGCAAACAGAGAGACAAATTCCTGTCTGGATAGAAATCATCTTTCCATGAAAACAGGCAATAACTGTAGTGTGGCTATGATAATAATAGGAGACCATGGACGTTGGTACTAACACTTACCCTGCTATCACTTACTATTTCCTTGCATCTGCTAAAGATTTGTGTCATAAATGCCATCTGTATTTAAAGAAGGAATGAGGTATAGAGATATTAAACAGGTCATGGTAACATGGATTTTACACTTAGGAGTTGGGTATAAGAATAGTTCCCACTCTACATCCTTGGCTTATCTTCCTTCTTACTGATCAAGTGAAGAATCTGTTGACGTTGTACCTGAAAGGCAGGTAGTTTCAAGCCAAGTTAAAGTAATGAGGTAGGAGTGCGATTCAGACAGAAGGGACATGAAAGTAATAAGCAACTTCATTCCTAACAAGATTAAGGAGCAACTTTGAGTCCAAATTTAGTCTCTGAATGAAGACTCCATCTACTCTTTGATTGGCTTTGGGAGGCATTTTATGTGTGGGAAGCAGATGGGTATTTTATGGAGTTATAAAATATCATTGTGAGTTATTATTGTGTTACTTTTTATTGCAGTTTGAAAATGGTATTTATTACAAAGTATATATTTCTTCTAGTTTTTGTTAGTTGCATTACTGTAAATATAAAATGTACTTATTGTGGTTACAGAAAATGTAGCTGTAGCTTGTGGAATGGGACATGCAGAAACAGAACTGAAAGATATGGCAATGGTCATGTATCTGTCGGCTCTTTCTCATTAAACATTCAAGTATATACATAGAGTGGCAAAGGTACTGTGTTTATTTACTTACTGATTATTTATTTTTGTGGTGCTGAAGACTAAGTTGTGACTTTGTGAATGCTAGCCACATGCCTTCACATTGAGGTACATCCCTCTGCCATGAAAGAAAGCATTTTTAATGCTCTATTCATATACTTAATTTCAATATGTCTCTAAATCTGTAAATTATTCAATCCTCAATTTTATTATAGCATTTCAGTTTTAAATTTTAAATATGTATGTTTCTGTTACTTACATTACTATGTTTTCTTTATACTTACACACTATTTGAACTTCTAGAAAACAATGCTTTAGTTTAGTAAAAAAAAAAACAAAAGAATTCAACTTTTCCTTTTATTTCTTGTAATTTTTAAAGATTTGTTATATTTTTATTGTGTGTGTGTATGTATGTATGTATGTATGTATGTATGTGTGTGTGTGTGTGTGTGCCACTCAAGAAGTCCAGAAAAAGTTGATGGATCCCCTGCAGATAGAACACAGGAGGCTGTGAGCTACTTGGCAAGGGTGTCAGATCCCCAGCAAGAGGACAAAGCCCTGTTAACCACTGAGCCTTCTCTCCAGCCTCAGACTTTCCTTGTTCAAATGTATTGTATTCTCTCATTCCTACAAAAGATGTAGCACTGTATTGTTCTGATTAATCAAGCTATGAAATTATTTTGTAAAGAAATTATTAGGGAATATCTTGGTATCTTAGACATGGCTTTGTATTTAATACCAAAAGACGATATAAATTTAAGCAAAGCAAAACTCTCTATATGTTAATTTATCATTAAGAAAGAACGAACTAAAAACTACAGTCAGTAGTCATGCCTGCTGCTCTCTTCAGCCTTGAGACTTTTGAAGTTAATTGAGGTAGCAACCAATCCTTATTAGCAATGGTTGGCTTCACTATTAAAGGCTTCCTGTGAAGATCATGCCATTCCCCGCAGGCTAGGACACATTTTGCTCATGTGGAAAAGCATTCCATATCTTACTACCTCAAGATAACTCACATAGATAGATATACATTCCATTTCCTGATAAAATCTAAAGTTAGTAATAGTCAATAAATAACTTTAGCAAAGACTTTCCTATACTGAACAGTATGTGGGTAGGAGTCCCTCTTAAGAAACACTATTTTCTTGTTATATCTCAGGAGAACAAGAAGTCTTAGCTTCAAAACAAAGAGGACCGACATGTTTACCTTGACCTATAAATATATATTTTAATATATTTTGCAGCTTGATTATGCATGCTTGTGTTGAATACCTTCAACATAGAACATAAGTAAAAATGCATGATAGGTATATTGGTGATTTGAAATGGAGATTTTCATCTATAAAAATAAAATAAAATGAAGTCTCTAGGATTTTACCAGCCCTTCCAGTGCTAACATGTGCTCATTTACCCCGAGTCCCCTAGAAGGAACAGCTGCTTAGGCTTATAAAATAAGCACAATTTTAAAAATCTGTGATTATGCTCAAAGGCAGAATGAGCTGCTTCCCAAATGCACATGCTAAAGAGGGATATCACTAATAGAGTCCAAGGGATGCTTAGCACACTTCTGCGGGCTAATATACACTCTTCCTGCCACATCTTCCAATAGTTGTATCTACCTAATGGATGATGGAAGAAAACTGTAGACCTGGTTAAAGTTTGTAGTAAAGAGAGCATAAAACCTGCATTGTATTCAACATACTGTCACCATTCTCCAGGACATACTATGTTGTATCTTTGAGTATGGTTTATGGACAATATCACTTTTGTATTCTGATGAATCAACACATCTAATTTTATCTTAAAATATCACTTCCAAAAGTATACAGCCATCATATAAGGCAAGGTTCTAGGTAGAAGGAGAGGAGAACGCCTTGAATATTTTGACTCTTGGTATTCATATTTATTTACAGTTTCAGAGTTAATTTGTGACATCACAAATAAAAAGTATAGAGTTTTCATTGCAGATGCCAGAGGCAGTTTTAATCCAATGAATATTAAAAATCATGCAGAGGAATGAACAGAATACTAAGCACTGCCATTTCTTCTTTTTATAACTGTGAAGGATTGATTTGGTCTCAAGTATTCCATGGCCATTGCAAAATGAATGCACTTGTCTGCACTATCAGACTCGTTATATTTAATGAGTCCAATTCTTCATTAAAAGTTGGATTCCTTAGGATCTTTGCCTGCAGTCCCTTGAACCCTGTTTACAAATCAAAGATTTTCCTGTGAACTGATAGGCAGTCAATGGCAATCATAGGATTGAGGTATAGTACATGGAGGGGCATATTCCACAAGCCTGAGCATCCTGTGGGGCTTCAACTCCAGCCTTCTCCTTAACTGAGTGATAGAAACCTTATTACAACTGAATTCCTCACAAAAGAAGGATACACTTCAAATATTTACGCTCTGCTCATTACCATGCTAATGGGAACTAATTAAGAATTAATTTGCATTAATGAAAACCTCCTGTTAGGATTGCTTTTACGGCATATCAGTCTAAAAACTCATGATATTTCTGTCAACATTTTTGCTCATGTGAATATGTAGAAAAAGAGAAAATAAAGCTCTTCACTGTCTCCTCTGTTATTGTCTTCCACACTTTCTCCATGAACATATTTGAGCTCCTGTCAGTTCTGCTGACTGAGCTGGGTGAGGAACTTGAAGAAACCCTAGTGACTCTCTAGTTATAGTGCTAACTAGTGTCAACAGAGCAGTTCTCACTGTCAGGAACTGCACTGGACTGTGGAGTGATCACAAACCACACTGACAAATCAGATTACATTAAATACTCAGCTGTTCAGTTGTAGCAGCCACGACTCCTGTGTCAGTGGCTACAATCATTACTAAGTAGTGTCCTGAGCAGCATCAATAAAAAGTGCTGGAGGTTTTAGACACAGGTTTAATGAGCTTAGAAACCTATATTCATTATGAAGGGAAATAAATTCACTTATAATTGATTAAGCATAATTGTACTTTAAGCTGCACATTTTAAAGAGGCTGGCATGTTCTGCCAAAAGCAAGCAGTATTGTAGAATATGGAATATGAAAAAACTGTGTATTTGGAAAAGAGGGTAACAGAATCAGAAAAAAAAATGCAGCAAAGAAAAATGACCTTATAAGAGAAGACAGAACTTAGAGCAGGCCCTTTTACAATTAGGCATTCCTGTTGTCCTGAAGCCCCCAAGAGACGAGGGAAAACTCAATGCTCCC